GAGACCTCCACAGGCATGAGAATATCAAACATACAATCGACAATTTAACATTCCTGATGAATGCCAAAAACTGAATGGTTTAAAGTGATTTTTGAATCATCCTGTTGGGATTGGTGCATGTGAATGAAGGAGAATGCAACTGCTATCCAATAATTTAACAATGATCTGAAAAAGTTAAGTTTTGCTGATAATTTTGTTTATTTTAAAAACTGATTCTTAGTTCACAGGGATGGATAAAAAAAAATTGGTAACATTTTTGTGCCTTCATGGCTGGCGTTTAAAAATCTGGACACGTGTCTAAATTTATTGTAAAAGCTGTTTTAAAAAGTACAAAGGCAAGGGACAAAAAGATAAATTGGCACTATGATCTTGAAACTGACAGCATAATTTATGCTGAATGTCACAAAGGCATTTGATAATCTTTTGACAGTTTTTTTTAAATTAAACAAGCAAAAACTTTTATTGCTGAATGCAAATTTATACGTAGTCATTAAAACTTCTTAACAGGATCTTTGCTCACAGTGCCATAAGAAAATCACACACCAAAAATGAATCTCTTGGGCCCTTAAGCAGTGACATCATGGATTCTCTGTCCCTCTTAAAACAAACAGGGGCCCATGGTTTCCAAAACCGTCTATAGGTTGATTGTGTCAGCAACAGACTGTCAGTTTTAAGAATTCACAAACTTAACTGAGGATGTTAAAAGTCAAATGTCACAGTATGGTGAAGATTTAGACTCCAAACTTTATCTATCAAAGAACTGACCTTAACCCATTCATGGGGGTCATTACCTTCTCGGATACAGCGCTTGAGAAGAGGAAATATGGAAGCTACTTGCACATAAATCTTTAAATGTACAACCCCCGAGCCTGGCAGTATTTATAGAGTCAATTCCTGCACAAAAGGAAGCCATTCAGCCCATGTGAATCTATACCATATCCCTGCAGACCAGTCATTCCTATTCCTCTATCTGCTTGACATAGGCCTGCAAGTTTACTTCCTTCAAGTGCCCATCCAATTTCCTTTAGAAATCATTGGGTCCTGTGCAGAAAGTGGCAAGGCCATGAAGGAAGGATGGCAGTGCAGGCATCGTTGATGAGGAGCTGGCTTAGGACTGATGGACTTCCCTTTCCATTTTGCCCTTATTCTTAAAACTGTTTAAAATGGTACTGGATCATGGCAACAGCGGAAAAGCTTTTCACTGTATTTTACGGTTTTCTCACCGTAAAATACATGTGACAATAAAAATCATTCTTCATTCAAAAAAAAAACATTGTTTTTGCTGCCACTCAAGTGAGTAGCAAGTTACCATCAAAAGGTTTCAGTAAAGGTGTGATTATTTCAGCCTATCATATCTATGAATACACAAAATATGAGCAGAAACAAACTATTCATTCCCTTGAGTCTATTCTGCCATTCAACAAGATTTAGTCTAACTGTTTCAGTTTCGAATTCCAAAATCCCATCCACCCCGATAACTTTAGATTTCCGAAGTTGTAGACATGCTCACTGAGCCAGTGTGTTTGGTTTCAGACGTTGTGTCACCCTGCTCGGTAATGTCATCAGTGCGCCTCCAGCGAAGTGTCCCACTTGTCATTTATATGCCTCAGTTTGTTGGGTTGTTTGGTACCACTTCCGGTTCAGTTTCTCAGTGGTTTCTACACAGGGTCTCACTCAATGTGTTTGTCGATGGAGTTCCGGTTAGAATACCAGGCCTCCAGGAATTCCCAGGCGTGCCAAATTTGACTGGGACAACACATCCATAATCGCACAAGCCAAACAGAGACACACAGGGAATTCCTGGAGGCCTGGTAATCTAACCAGAACTCCATCAGCAAACACATTGAATTAGACCCATTGTACTAACCACGGAGAAACAGAACCAGAAGTAATACCAACCACCCCAGCAAAACCAAGGCATATAAATAACAAGCAGGACAGAACACCGACACTTCACCGGAGGCGCACTGATGATACTACCTCACAGGGTGACAAAATGTTTGCAACCAAACCCACCAGCTCAGCAAGCATGCCTACAACCTCATCCACAACCGAAGGCACAAATCATCTCAAAAACTTTACATTTCCCTGCCTAACAAGAAGCTAAAGCAAAAAGTTCCAAAGTTGCACAATGTTGCAATTTTAGAAATTCTTATCTCTCTGAAAGGAAGATCCCTAATTTTAGAACACAGCAATCTAGTTCTGAACTGACTCACAAGAGGAAACATCCTTTCCACACCCACCTGGTCAAGACCATTCAAGATCTTACACACTTGAATGAAGTCACTCTTCATTTTTCTAAATTGCAGAGAAAACAATCTAACTCCCCTGCCCAACCAGTCACACGACACCAGGTTATAGTCCAACAGGTTTATCTGAAATCACAAGCTTTTAAGAGCGCTGCTCCTTTGTCAGGTGAAGTGGAGGGAAGCCCACAGGCACCAAATTTTTATGCAGAGAGATAACAGCAAGATGCCATTATATGTTACCTATTACACCATAAGCTTCTTTTTCCACATTAACCTTTGATCGGGTATCTTACCAAATGCCTTCTGGAAATTCTAGTAAATACAACTACAAGGTACCTTTTATCTATAGCATATGTTACTCAAAAGAATTCCATTAAACTGGTTAATCATGATTTCCCTTTGACAAAACCAAGCCAACTCTTCATGATTATCCTGAATTTTTCTAAGTTTTTATAGCTATTTTCTTTAATGATAAATTCTAACAATGACAGGCATCAAGCTAACTAACCTATAATTTTCTGCCTCCTGCTCATCTTGAACAATGGTGTTACAGTGGCTACTTTCACATCCAGTGGAACCTTTCCTGAATCTTGCAAACTCTGGACCTGGACCTGGAGCTCCATCAGCCTCCAGCTCAATCATTTTCTTTAGTACCACTTGCCTTTTGATTGTAATTTTAAGTCCCTCTCTCCCTTCCACTTTCTTTTTTTAAGATTCATTTATGGGATGAGGGTGTCACTGGCGAGGCCAGCATTTACTTTCCATCCCTAATTGCACAGAGGCCAGTTGAGGATCAACAACATTGCTTTGGGTATGGAGTCACTAAGTAAGGTTAACAGATTTCCTTCCCTAAAAGGACATTAGTGAACCAGATGGGGTTTTCCCAACAACCGGCAATGGTTTCATGGTCATCATTAGAATTTTAATTCCAGATTTTTTTTATTGAATTCAAATTCCACCATCTGCCATGGTGGGATTCGAACCTGGGTCCCCAGAACATTATCTGGGTCTCTGGATTAACAGTGCAGTGATAATACCACTAGGACATCACCTCCTCCATTTCATGATTTTTAGATTCTTGAATCTATTTCTGATTTATAACTATCACAAATGTTTTTGTATCCTATATAGTGAAGACAGAAGCGAAAATATTTGTTCATTTCATTCACTACTTCCATATTGTCCAATATTAACTTATTCTCACTCCAGAGAATCAACAATCACTTTACTAACTCTTTCCTTTTTATAGATCTGAAGAACCTATTCCAATCTGAGTTTTCATTCCGAGATAACTTCCTCTCGTTCTCTAATTTCTTACTTTTGATTAATCTTTTATCGTCTTTCTCTACTTTACATTCTGACCAATGATCTGAAAAAGAAATAAATTTTTGTGCAGTAATACACTCTCTTTAAATTTGATGTTTTCTTCAATTTTTTTTTAGTTAACCATGATGTTGGGTCTCCCCAAACAAATATTCTTTATGGCAGGAATATATTTATTCTGAAATATTCCCTTAAGTGTCTGGCACTGTCTCCATTGATGAATCCCTTGACTTAGAATGCCAATTCACTTCAACTAGCTCAACTTTCACATCTACCTAGTCACTCTCATTTAGGTTTAACATACCAGTCTTAGACCCATTTTTCTCCCTTCCAAACTAGATATAAAATTCAACCCTTATTGCAGTTGCTGCTACCGAGAAGCATGTTAACTCAGAGGTCATTAATCTACCCTGTCACATTATATACAACACCAATTCTAACATTTCACTCTCCCTGGTCTGTTCCAAAACGTGCTCTTCTAAGAAACTCTCTCATAAGCATTCCTCTTTAACGCTACTTTTGCCACCTGATTTTTCCAGTTTCCAGCCATGACTATTGCCACTCCTTCAGCAAAAGCACTCAATTTTTTTTTGTGTACACTTCTCCCCCATATTGTGGTTACTTTTAGGGGTTCTGTAGAACACTCCCACTCTTTCTTCTACTATTTCTCATTTCCATCCAAACCAATTCTACATAGCGGTCTCCTTCACGAAGTTCTAAATATTGCTGAAATGCCACTCTTCCACCTTTACTTAGCTTCCTATTATTTTTGAATATCAGATACCCCTCCGTATTCAGGACCTTATCTTTGACGTGTTTTAGCACGTCTCCGTAATGGCTGTGAGATTGTGTTTATTTACTTCAATGTGTATAACACGCTTACTAATATGAATGCTGTACGAACTCAGACACAGAGCCTTTCGTTTTATCTTTTTATGATTTATTTCACCCATTTTTCTAGGTGATGCTGACTCCCTGCCATGGGTCTCCCTCTCACCCACTCCTTTAGGTTTTGCAAACTGCCTGTCTCTGGGTGCTTCACTTGGTCTTTCTGTCATTGATGCTGACTGCCTAGCTCAGGATGCTCCATGCACATGCTTCTCTAGGTGATGCTGACTGCCTGTCTTGAGGTCCTCACTTCACCTGTGCCTCTTCCATAACGGTCAGAGACTCATCCTTGCTGTGTAAGAGGGCAAAAATTAGTTTGAATTAATTCCAAAGAACCTGTCTGTTTTTGACTGACTACCTGCCCTTCTATCCCCTGCTCCTTTGTGCAGCCTCCCTGAAGCTCAAATACTTTGTGTAACACCTCACTTGTACTTAAATAAACAAACTGTTATAAATATGAAGTCTCCTTCAAATCACAGAATGAACTGTCCAAAGGGAATTCAAATTAATTCTTACAGGCCTGAAACCAATTTTACTTACTGTGATCGTGAGACAAGACGTCGCAGGGATATGAGCCTGTCCTGAGTATGAGCCAGTGAGATTGAACCAGTCTGGATATAACCTGGTAAATACAGGGAGACCTCGTTTAAGGTGCAAATCGACGCACATTCATTGTGCACGTTGATGATGCCCAACTTGCAAATGTTATAACCACCCCATATACACATGTAAACTGCAACATTGTAACCTCTCTCCTTATAAAGAAAGAAAATTCCATTTATTAAGGCACAACTTTATGACACTGTAAAGCACTTTACGGCCAAAATACGTTTTGAAAAGCAGTCAGCATTGGTATATGAGAGAATCTGCAGTCAACTCACATACTGTAGACTCCACAAAGAAAAAAAGCAACCACAATCCAATAATCTCTTATTGAGGGATACATATTGGCCAGAACAATGGCTCATCTTCATTCCATTGGACATCTTTCATTCTCCTTAGAAAACAGATTGCTTTATCTTCTCATCCTGAAGACAGCATGAGCAGCAGTGCAGCACAGCCTTAGCAATATACTGGAGTTTCAGCACAAATCTTTCGCTCTAGTATCTGGAGGGGGCCTTGAACCATTAACATGGGTGACTCAAAGGACAGTGTGCCACCACTGAGGCATCACTGAAAATTCATATAAACTTGTAAGAAATAATTTTAAGCCTCTTTAGCCTATTTATCGAATGGTTTGAAGTTCACTCATGTCGACAGGCAAGCACCACACTGACCCTTTCCAGGTCAATAGTAACACACACTGTTTCCTAAGTAAACACGGCAACTTAAAGACCATAACCAGACCCCCCCAACATAAACACAAACACATTGTAACCACTCCCCGTCGAAACAGAGTGAGCAGAAATATTGTATATTGTACAATGTAAAAACTTTAGATCTGTCTTTAAATGCACTAATTACTCATCTATCAAGATTACCTGTTAAACCGCCCCCTTCCCCAAACACAAAACTGGCAATCTATTATTCTCTTTTAAATACCAACTCATTTGAACATCCAAAAAAATGTAATTTACTCATCCCTGTTGTTAAAACAGTTGAAGTGCTTTGATAAGTGAGCAGTCAATCCAGTTCATCAATTATGACCTACTGAAGCACTCCTCCCCAAGACATCAAAAGGTATGGTGCCTATATGATCTAACCCACAGAGAAAAGAAGCAATTTCAAAACCCTTACCTGTCTGGATGCCAGTTTCTTGCTCCAACTGCTGATAAAGTTTGTTTGAATAGTCAGCCATCTTTGTTTCTATGCTGATGTGCTTGACCGTGCTTACGATACCACCACAGAGTCGCGTAGTTCCTGCGGCTAACCTATTAACGTCAACAAAACCAAGGGAAATGATACAGGCATAAACGCTAGAATTATCACATCTGTCACAGCCATCTTCCTTCACACCTGTGCCATGGTACATACAAGAGGTCACCCATATCTGATAACACCAAAACTTTTTATGGACCAGTACCTATGGGACCAAGATTGTGCCAGGTTGATCAAGAGGTCCACATAATCAATGTAAAAACACAACACCAAGTAACAGAAACATAGTGCAGGGGGTATACACATCACTGTTATACTTCATTTACAGCATAAATCACTTAAATAATAATGCAACTTTGCCTTAAATAAAACTTACTGACAGTGTAATGTTGAACTTCATTTCTTTTTTCTAAACTTAATTCTAAGAAGGACTTTAATATTGAATTTTTAATTTCATTTTCTTGTTTTTTGAGTTTGTACGCAAAATGCTGTACCTAGGTACCTTTGTACCTAAAATGGCACCAGGAGTGGCGACACTGTACGCTTTTCACTGTACTCCAGTATCCCTGTACTTCAGCACACATGCTATTAAATCTAAATCTAATTCTCTCCCACCCTCAACTGACTACTTGGACATCACAGAGATCATGATAATACAGTAAAATTTCCAGTGTGAGTTGTTCAATTTTTGCCAGTTTATCGAGAGTGCTGCTTCATAAGGTGCCAGTTAAAACAAATTTTGTTGTACAGAACACTACTACATGATATTTTCTTCAATCCATATACTCTCAGTTAGGATATTAACAAGTCTAATAAGGAAAATGGAAACAAATTAGGATGATGTAAACATAGGCTGTTAATATTTGACTTCCACGATCTAATTTTCTTCTGGAGCTAGAGAGTGTAGTCTTGGAATTAGGACCAGGACATTTAGAAGAGATGAGGAAGCACTTCCATGCACAAATTGGAGTTGATGTGTGGAATTTTCTTTCATAAACTGCAGCAGATGCTGGATCAGATACAAGCCAAAGGCTGGTATATTGAATTAAGCCACAAATCAGCCATGACCTCATCAAATGGCGGAACAGGCTCAAGGGGTTGAATGGCTTACGTCTCAAACATTAGACCTTCATGGATTACAAACTGTATAACAAAGGATAAATACTGACACTAAATAGTTATTATGATCAACTGACAAAGTTCAGCCAAGCTTGTCAAACCATCAGGTAATGAGGATTAATCTGAGAAAAAATCAGCAATGTCAAAGGAGGACAGCAAGAACTCTTGTGGCATTGTATCCCAACCTCTGAGCCAGGGACCCAGGTTCAAATCTCACCTGCCCTGGATGTATATCCTAACATCTCTGATGAGATTGTCAATCTAATCAATCTAAAAAGACAAACTCAGATCAGAGTTGATTCACAACTTTCTGGAAGTTATACTTTGAGTTGAAAGATTAGCTGCAGACAATGCAGTTTGGAAAAACAATAGCAGATTGGTGATGTACAAACAGACCTATATCAACAGCTATTTCCGGGTAGTAGGATGGGGATAAGGACAAACCAAAGTGTATGCAAAAATTGGGAGATTCTCTCTCTGCCTGTCTCTCTCAACCATAAAAGTCATTGCCCAGTGAGAAAAAAAAACACTTGGCCAAGAAGTCAAGGTTATCTGCAAGCTTCACTGCTCTGAGAAAATAACAAAACTAAATAGTGGACCTCAGGTTTCACTCATACAACTCAAGAATTCAGAAAATACGTAAATTGCAACAGCCTGCACTGCCTTCGACATAGTCCTCTTTTTTAAGCAAATACCTAGGTGATGTTTATGCATTATGTGTCACGTTTTTCTTCTCTAACTCTGGTTTAATAAAATCACCTATCTTCTCCTTTATCCATCTTCTATCTGCCTCCCTCTCTCTCCCTATTTATTTCAGAATCCCCTTCCCCTCCCTCATTTCTGAAGAAGGATCTCGACCCGAAACGTCAGCATCAGAGGAGCAGGAAAGCTGCTTGGCCTGCTGTGTTCATCCAGCTCCAGACCTTGTTATCTCTGGTTTAATAAAACTTTGCTTTATTTTACTCAAGAAAACCTTGGAATTAGTTTGCCTTCATTTTTGATCTGATTAACATGTTTAATTGAAGTGGTTCAGCCATGTGCTAAAAATAAAAAAAATGTTTCTTGTCATCAACTCAGAGTGGGTGAAAAAAGAGGGAAGGCAATCACAGCACTGACAGCAACAGAAATGACCTCAATCCCACTGGATGATGGGAGGGCTGGGAAAAAGCTGGAGTTGGGTGGGGGTGGAGGACGAGTTTGCCAGTTTCCCATTTCCTCATTGTGATACATTGCTTGGTGGTGGTGGCCTGATGCGCATTCCAAAACCATCCACACACAACACAAAATCGGGAAGAGGATTAGAAATTACAAAGCACATAGAATGTTGCATAAATAACATCCTCAGACAGCAGTTCTGGACAGAAAGAGTGGATTTGCATTTATAATTGCATCCTCCTTCTTAATTCATCTCCACTGCAGTATCTAAATTGGAATTATTACAAAAATGACATAAAGCACTGGTGCTATTGAGTGTATGATGTACAGTTTCCTTTCAATATCCAATGTACTTTAATTTTGTTCCTGCCATTCCAAGAAGAATACATTTGCCATAAGCACCAACATACTTCACCTACTTCATTTCAAGCAGGTATTGCTCAGGTGCAAGTCTACAAAAGCCCAAGAGGACAAATTGAACCTGTTTCTGCAGAAACAATGTTATAATGACACTGAAGTACCGTATGGCAGATTGCATGCCTAATTTTTCAACCTCTCCCCCTTCAAGGTATCAGAATTATCATTGTTTAAATTAAGTGAACTATCTTTAGAGAATTAGACAATGAAAATATTTTCTCCAAACACTTTGAATGCCTTTGATCAGTACTTACCGTCCTTGTTCCAGTAATACAACATCAGTCCAGCCCAGTTTGGAGAGGTGATATGCCACTGATGACCCTACAATCCCTCCTCCGCAGATCACAACATGAGCTTGGGAAGGTAACGGCCTCATATTCGAAACAGGCACTGTTGAGCTTCCCCTCCGACAGCTTCGGGGCAAATGGCGCTGCAGAGGGCAGATGACATCGGACAGTAGCCAAGGGAACATCTCAGCCCAAAGACAACTCCGCCTGGCTACAGAGCAGCTCCTCATTGTTCACCAAAAAACAGCCAACAGGATAGATGAGATCTGAAATAGCAAAAGATAACTGGCAGATATGCAGACTAAGAACAACTTGTATTTCTACAACTTTAACTGAATACAACATCCCTTGGCACATCATCGGACAACACTGACACAGAACTCAAAAAGAATGTGATGTCACTAATGCCGTGAGCAATTGGAAAGATAGTAAATTGAGTCTCAAAAGAAAGAGTGAGGAAGTATTTCTTGACTGTAAGCTGATGCATGACCAGCATTAGTGGAGCAAAAGAACTGGACAATGTTGGAGGAGTGCAACTCCTGCAGTTTAGAAGACTGGAGGAGGTTACAGAGGTAGAGAGAAGTGAGGACATTGCGGATTTGAAAATAAAACAAGTCCATACAATGCTCCAAATGAAGTGTTCAACTAAAGAAACCTTTCAATGTGCTACAAACTCAGCTCTATGAGATATTGACCAACTCTATAAAAATCCCGGAAAGTGAAAATACACGTAAGCCTCATTTGTGTTAACTTTATGCAGCATCAGGAATATAAAACACAATTTCAAAACGTACAGACGATATCACATGTGTGATCTATGAGAATGGTTTACAAAGTTCATTTTGTAAGAAGAACATAAGCATTGTAAAGCAAAGGGCACAATTCTGAAGAGGCTGCAGGAGCAGAAAGATCTCAACGTATTTCGATTTTTGATGGAGGCAAGGCAGGTCGAGACATTGGTTAAGCATATATATCGTCCTTATCAACAGGAACACTAAATACAAAAGTAAACAAGTTATGTTAGATGTGCCTCAACTAGAGTACTGCATCCGATACTGGGGGTGCCACACTTTACGATGTGAAGGTATGAGAAAAAGTATATAAAAGATTCACATGAACGGTTCCAGCAATGAGGAACTTCTGTTACGGTGAAAGACCAGAGAAGCTGAGACTATTCTTCTTGAAAAAGGTTGAGGGAAAATTTGATAAAGTACTCAAAATCATCAGCCGTCTAAGTAGGATAGATAGGGAAAAACTATCCCCATTTGTGGAACAATTGCAAACCAGAGGGTACATATTTCTCGTAACTGAAAAAAAAGTGACAAGAAGAAAACCTTGCTCACAAAGCAAACAATTAGGAACGGCAATGCATTAGTTAAGGCTTTCAATAGGGAACTGGATCACCGTCTGAAAAGGAAAAATTTGGAGTGCCACAGGTAAAAGTCAGGGCATTGGCATTTGGTGACCTGTTCTAGGATAGGTCCAGCATTGAGATAAGGGACCGAAAGGCATCCTTACGATGGCAAGCAGCTTATCAATAAAACCCTGATCAGAGCTCCTTCCAGCGACAAGGGTCCAAAGTCGCGAAGCTGCCAAGCCGGCGGCGCCCCTGGTCTTCTCTCCCCGGCTCTGCCCTTCACACTGACCCCGACCTCTTCCTTTGCCAGACCGGGCCACCTGATGCCTCCTATGGGCTGGCTTCGCTCTCACCAGGAAACAAACCCCCGCGGCTCACTGGCCGAGGCCGTGATTCTTGGCAACGCCGTGTTTCTCCGCCAGCCCGTCACAGGCGGACTTAGCCAGTGGCCGACAGCCCAGACCCTGAACGCATCGCGGGGATCCCAGCGGCCGAGCCAGGCCGGGCCTAACCTGCACGCAACAAACGTACCAACGTCATCACGTACCACCACAAACCCCGCCCCTTCCCAGCATTGTCCAATGTGCGTGGAGCTGTGATCAGAGACTCCACCCACAGGCTCGGCACAGGATGATTGACAGTTGCATCAAGGGTGGTGACTTATCAACTGAGCAGAAAAACAGTGACAGGGGGATTTAACACTAAACACAACTCGCATTTGTACAGCACCTTCAACGTTACGAAAACTCTTAAGGCTCATCTGTCCAAGTTATTAAACAAAATTTGACATTGAGCTATTTGAGAAGAACAGGGAACTAAAACGTCCACCTGATTTGATTTGATTTGACTTATTGCTGTCACATGTACGTGAGTACAGTGAAAAATTTTGTTTTGTCGTCAAAGTAGCTTTTGGAACCATTCCAAAAGATCTGCGTGAATAAGAACGGTCAGAGGGAGGAAGAAGTAGAACTTCGGACCCAGGCAGCTGGAGGCAAAGCTGCCATTGTTGGAATGATTAAAATCAGGGAAGGCTCAACATCAAAGTGTGAAGATAGCTTAGAGGGCTGTTTGGTTGGAGGACTTTACTTACATTGGAAGGAGCTAATCCGCGAAGGAATTTTACGACAAGAATTTTAAAGTTGAAGTGTTTGCAGATCAGCAGCCATAGTTGGTCAGCAAGTAGATAGATGACAGATGAAGACATTTGATCTACGTTTGGGTGCAGAAAGCAGAGTTTTAGGTGAGCTCAAGTTAGTTATAACCAGGTAGGGGACCAGTCTAACAGGAAGATTTGCAGAGTTGTTCCCCAGGGATCAGTATTGGGACCCTGCTCTGTTTGGTGTATAATAATCTAGACTTTGTTACACAGAACATCAGTCAAAATTTGCAAATGATTAAAAAAATTAAAATGAAACAGTCAAGGAGAATAGTGGTAGACATCAGGGTGGAAAGACTGGTGAAATGGAGAGAGACAAGGCAAATGAACTTTTGTACTGAAGTATTTAATATTTCATTTTAGTCATAAAAATGATGGTATTATTAAAAAGCTAGCATTTTAAATGAAATGCTCAGACAAAGAAACCTGGAAGTCCATGTACACAAATCTTTGAAGGCGGCAGAACAATTTGGTGAGGCCTCGTCTGTAGTACTGTGTCCAGTTCTGGTCGCCCTGTTATAGGAAGGATATTATTAAACTGGATGGGGTTCAGAAAAGATTTACAGAATGTTGCCAGGAATTGAGGGTTTGAGTTATTAAAATAGGCTGGATAGGCTGAGACTTTTTTCAGTGGAATGCAGAAGGTTGAGAGCTGATCTTTTAGATGTTTATAGAATTGTGAGGGGCATAGATAAGGTGAATAGAAAAGGTCTTTTCCCTAAGGTGGGAGAGTTCAAAGCTTTGGGGCATATTTTTAAGGTGAGAGGGGAAAGATTTAAAAAGGACATGGAGCAACTTTTTTACACAGAGAATGGTTCATGTGTGGAATGAACTGCCAGAGGAAGTGGTGGATACAGGTATAGTTACAGTGTTTAAAAGACATTTGGATAAGTAAATGGATAGGAAAGGTTTGGAGGGATATGGGCCAAACACAGCCAGATGGGACTAGTTTAGTTTGGGAACCTGGTCAGTATGGACTAGTGGGACTGAACTGTCTGTTTCCATGCTGTGTGACTATATGACTATGAGAAGACTGTACAAATGCATTTAGGATCCTAAACATTATTATCAGACAAAAGTACAAGAGCAAGAGAGTCATGCCAAAACTCTATAAATTGCTGGTTAGAACTCAGTTGGAGCACTGTGTTAAATTATGGGCACCAGATTTTTTTGGAAAGATTTTAGGGACAGTGCAGACGAAGTTTACTGGAAAGTGTTGTATTTCATTCGTAAATGAAACATTTCAATTTACAAAAATTTAATTCACAAAAAGATGGAAGACAGGAAAAATTTGTGGCTGTAAGAGCTGCTCCTTTTTTGAGGTATTTTCAATGTTGGAGGTGATTTCTTCCAATTCTAGGAGCAGTAATTACTGTTTTATAAGCTGTTGCATTGTTTTGGAACTTTGAGGGAAAATATCAAAACAACAGCTCTTTAAAAAAGGAGGATGGGAGATTTAGGCAGTGACCACATGGTGCAAAGGGAATCAACTAAGAAAGAAACCTACACTGCTCTCTGACCCAGCAGTGAGCTTTCGTAGCTACTGCCTCTGCTGTTTGATTTCAAGTACCTGTGGACATTGGAGTTCTCTAAGAAAAATAAACAAACAGTGAAATTCACAGCTGACCTTGGAGAAACTCTGTGTGGGGAGACCTCAGCAGGGGAGCAGCTAAGTGGCTAGCTTTTTTTGTAAATCTACAATAGTGAGTGGAGTGGGTTCTTTTTGATTGTATGTTATTATTGAGGTGTGTCTCCTGATTACTAAGTTAGCCTGGAGCAGTGTTTCCAGAGCAGTAAGACTGTGCTATTTTCTGGGTCTATAGATTCTTACGGTGCAAAGTTGGCCTTTAGTGGAGTGATGTGCTCTTCCTGTCCAATGTGGGAGATTAGGGAGAGTTTCCATGTTACTGATGAGTATGTCTGCAGGAAGTGTGTTTGGTTGTGAATCCTATCAGATTGCATGGATTGGTTGGAGCAGCATTTGGGGGAATGAGGAATTTACAGGAGCTGGGGGTGTGGCATGGCAGTTGCAGGAAGGGACGTAAAGTGAAAATATAGTCAGGTAGATGGGTGACCTCCAGGAAAGGTAGGAGAGGGAGGCAGGTAGTGCAGGAGTCTCCTGTGGTTATCCACATCTCAAACAAGCATGCTCTTTTGGAAAATGTAGGGGATAGACTCTTAGGGGAATGTAGCACTGACTGATTTCTGAAGAAGGGTCTCGACCCGAAACGTCAGCCTTCCTGCTCCTCTGATGCTGCTTGGCCTGCTGTGTTCATCCAGCTCTACACCTTGTTATCTTTATAGCACTGACAGCCAGGTTTCTGGTAACGAGACTAGCTCTAATGTAACGAGGGGTACACCAGGTTCCAAGCGGTCGATTTTAATAGGAGATTGTCAAGACAGAGGCACAGACAGACATTTCTGCGGCCGACAGCTGCCTCCTTGGTGCCAGGATCAAGAATATCTCAGAGAGGGTGCAGAATATTCTCAAAGGTGAGAGGAATCAGCAGGAGGTTGTTGTACACATTAGAACTAATTACATAGGAAGAGAAAAGGACAAGATTCTGAGGAGAAAATATAGAAAGTTAGGCAGAAGTTAGGAGGTCCTCAAGGATAATCTAGTGAGAATAGGAATAGGAGGATAGAGCAGATGGATGTGTGGCTGAGGAGCTGGTGCAGGGGAGAAGGATTCACATTTTTGGACCATTGGAATCTCTTCTGGGATAGAGGTGACCTATACAAGAAGGATGGATTGCACCTGGATTGGAAGAGGACTAACATACTCCTGGGGAGATTTGCTGCAGCTGCTCGGGACGATTTAAACTATTAAGGGAGGGTTGGACCCAGGGAGATAGTGAGGAAAGACAGCAGCCTGAGACTGATACATTTGGGAAAAGAGTAAGTCAAACTCAGGGCAAGCAGGAACAAAGCAGAGAATGAGGTAGGACTGATAAATTAAACTGCATGTATTTCAATGCAAGAGGCCTAACTGGTAAGGCAGATAAACTCAGGCCATAGTTGGGAACGTGGGACTGGGATACCATACCAATTACAGAGACATGGCTCGGGAATGGACAGGAGTGGCAGTTTCATGTTCCAGGGTATAGATGCTTCAGGAAGGATAGAAAGGGGCCCAAGACAGGAGGGAGAGTGGTGTTTTTGATTAAGGATAACATTACTGCTGTACTCAGGGAGGGTATTCCGGGGAATATGTCTAGGGAAGTTATTTGGGTGGGACTGAGAAATAAGAAAGGGATGATCACCTTATTGGGATTGTACTATAGACCCCCCAGTAGCCAGCAGGAAATTGAGAAACAAATTTGTAAGGAGATCTCAGTTACTTATGAGAATAATAGGGTGGTTATGGTTGGGGATTTTAACTCTCCAAACATAAACTGGGACTGCCATAGTGTTAAGGGCTTGGAAGGAGAGGAATTTGTTAAGTATGCACAAGAACATTTTCTGATTCAGCATGTGGATGTATCTACTAGAAAAGGTGTGAAACTTGACCTACTCTTGGGAAATAAGGCAGGGCAGGTGACTGAGGTGTCAGTGAAGGAGCACTTTGGGGCCAGTGACCATATTCTAGTAGTTTTTAAAAAAAGTGATGGAAAAGCATACACCGGATCTAAAAGTTAAATTTCTAAATTGGAGGAAGGCCAATTTTATTATTAGGCAGTATTAGGCAAGAACTTTAAAAAATTGATTGGGGGGTTGGGGGGGCGAATGCTCACAGGTAAAGGGACAGCTGGAAAGTGGGAAGACTTCAAAAATATGATAGAGAGTACAAAGGCTTAAGAGGGAAGTCAGGAGGGAAAAAAGTGAACATGAAATAGCTTTGGCAAATAGGGTTAAGGAGAATCCAAAGGGATTCTACAAATACATTAAGGACAAAACAGTAACTAGGGACAGAATAGAGCCCCTTAAAGATCAGCAAGGCCACCTATGTGTGGAACCGTAGGAGATGGGGGAAATACTAAATGAATATTTTGCTTCAGTGTTTACTGTGGAGAAGGATATGGACGATGGAGAACGTGGGGAAATAAATAGCGACATCTTGTAAAATGTCCATATTACAGAGGAGGACGTATTCAACGTCTTAAAATGCATAAAGGTGGATAAATCCACAGGACCTGATCAGGTGTACCCTAGAACTCTGGGAAGCAAGGGAAGGGAGATTGCTGGACCGGCCGTGTGCCACTGCTTCTGTCATTTATATAAATGATTTGAATGTGAACATAGGAGGTATGGTTAGTAAGTTTGCACTAAGATGACACTAAAATTGAAGATGTCATGGACAGCAAAGAAAGTTACCTGAGTACAATGGTATCTTGATCAGATGGACCAATAGGCTGAGGAGAAGCAGATGGAGTTTAATTG